CTTTTTAGACATTACTCCCTCTCACTCATTCAACCCAGCCAAAACTGTCCTCTGTATTTCTCACTCACAACACTCCATCCCCTGTCCATATGCCTTTGCTCTGACCCTGAAACCTGCCTGGAAACTCATTCTCTCTTTACTTCTACCTCATAGAAGCCCTCTCTTCTATTTTAAGATACAGTTCACTCACCTCCACAAACAACTGATAGTGACCTCCCTTGCAAACTACCTTGTAGGTAACTACTTTGTGTGTGTGTGTGTACTTATTAGCTTTATATTTGTGCTATATATAGTTGTCTCCCCATTAGACTCACCCACTGAGAGTTGGGACTGTTTCATTCTTTGTACTTGTGTCCCCAGTGCCTAGCACAGTACATGGCACATAGTAGGTGCTTAGTGCCTTGTTGATTGATTGGTGGATGGCACCCCATGACAGGCACTCAGGAGGAACTTTTTTAGGCACACAATAGTTCTTTTCTCCCGCTCCCCTGCTTCCTATCACTTTGGAGGGCTAGTCCTGAAATCAGTGGATATCATCTGCTGAGTTCAGAACAAGAGGCCTACCCTGTAGTGGGAAGGCTTTAGAAAGCTCATCAAGAGAAAATAGTACCTACATTACACTAGTGGCGCCACTTGTCAATTGCTGCAGATGTTTTGGAGAGCAGTAGTACCATATATGATAAGAAGTACACAATTGATCATACCTAATGTGATAGATGATTTATTGGACCCTTATTTTATTCCAATTGGTATTAATCAGTTTGATGTGATTCCATAAGGATAGTGATTACAAGTTCTGATAGTAGGCCTCAGAGCTATGAACTGCAGATTGTAAGTTCACTTGCTTAATCATAGGAAAGCTAACTAGAGGACCTCTACCCTTGTTTTCCCTTGTTATGGTGTCCAAGCCCATTATGACAGTGGTAACTCAATTACATGGAAAGTCCCTGCTGTTTTTGTTGTTCCTTTGACCCTTGTCATCCCTCTGTTGCCCAACATGGGGAGATGACCATGAGCACATAGCTAATTAGTGACCCTGGTTGCCAGACTGAAGGCTGCCTTTCTACTGGCCCATTGGCTCATATAGGTATTTTGACATCTACTTATCAGCACAACCCCGTAAACCTGCTTATTGGTTTGGTAGGGTCTCCTTGAAGGTCAAGATAAGTCTTTTTCTTTTCTTTTTCTTTTCTTTTTCTTTTTTTTTTTGAGGTCTGCTTACAAGTCCATTTGTCAACCAGTAGGATTTTATATTTTGTGTAGACCCTTCTGGAGGATTGTAGGCAAGATCTGTCCACCAATCAGACTGTATTTTTGGCCTACTCCACCTGTACTGTCTGGGTATTGAGCACTATAAAACTAAAGCCCTGGAGGAAAGGGGCATCTCAGATTGTGAAGGTGTGGGGTCACTTCCTTAGAGGGGACCATGGACCCTTTAATAAAGTGCCATTAGCTTAGAGCTTTGCCTCAGTGGTTTTTTTTGCAGACTGGACAATTTTGAAAATCCCCGCATTGTGCCTTTGAACACTTTGATTCCATTGCATATTCCAAAAAGGAATTGGGATTTTTTCTCCCTCCAAATCATAAAAAATAAAAAACTACCTGTATAGAAATAATCATAGCTGACCTAGATGTAAGGCCAAAAGGAAAAAGGAAGCAACCTAAATGTCCAATAATTGGTAGGTGGCTGAAGTAATCATGATATTTTAAAGTAAAGATGAAGCAAATAAAGACATAAGACCTATATTAATGCATAAGAAAATCAGCAGAACCAGTACTGTAACTCGATGACTGATTATAATTTGATGATTCGTTTGGGAAGGGCTCCCCAGTCTTTTTTAGTCCCTGCATATCTTGGTTTTCACACCTTTTTTCTCACTGGAACATCCCTCTACCCTGCTGTCCCACTGATGAGTTTCTTCTGGGGCCTTCATTTTTCGACAAGCCCAGACCTTCATTCCCCTCCAGTCTTGCTTCTGACTCTGATTTCACCACCATAATTCCATGGGTGCCTTTCTTCCCAGCTTCTTCATCCCCTTTTCATCTCTCATTTATGTATTATCTTCCCCATTAGAATGTAAGTTTAAAAGAAGGGGTTGTATTTTTAGCTTGTATTTTTATCCCCAGCACATAACGCAACAGTGACATATAGTAAGTGCTTAGTAGTGATTGTTGCCTTTTCGGCCTGCTTGCCCCCTGCATTCCCTATTCATTGGGAAAGAAAATTAAGTTCTGGAGTTTGCCATACTTATGGAATAAAAAATAAAATAGATTAATTTTTCATAAAGAAAATTTTGTTCAGTACACATTATTAGTATCATAAAGTTGTTTAATATTTATCAGAACTGAGTCCAATTAATTAGTAAGATTCTTGATCCTCTTTTCTGTCAACAGATCGTTTTTTTCTTCGTATAGTTTTTGAAAGAGACATCCAATATCACGTTCAGCCTACAGTTTGTTTCTTGCTTTGGATTTGCTTGAGAACAGGACTGAAAATCCTGATTCACAGAGATGAGTTGTTATCAATGGGATTCAGACCTTGTGAGCACATTTGTTAACAATGAGATAAGCTTCTCCAAGGGTACAGCAAAAGGCTTGTAACTTCATTGTTTGGAAATCAATTCAGAGTCTCTGGTTCTTTTGGAATTCAGTTTATTGTCTTTCAGTGGGCGGTTGTTGCAGATTTTTTTCTAGCTCAACATGAAAAGAGTTCCATATTAAAATCTCATTTATTTGGTTGTCATCAGTATGAATTATTCCTTCAACTGTCTCTTTCAAATTTTTCAGATGTATTATAATACTCCCACCCTTTCCTACCCCATTTATGCCTCCTCACCACAGATCCACAATCCACATTTTTTCTTTTGTAGTATTTCTGTAGGGTAATATAGTTGTTTACCAAATAGTCTCCATCCCTCCTTAAAAAGCTTCTTGTACCCTCTAGAGGGTATATATGCCTCAGGTTAGGAATCCCTATTCTAAGAGTTTTATTTAAGATTTTACTTCTTGTTCTATATTTTTCTTGAGTGTTTTTTGATGGTTACTAAATTTATAAGAATTTTCCAAATATTTTGTTAATGACTTTTTTAACCCCTTTATCCCAGTCATTGCTCGATATACTCAGTGCCCATCTCCTCCACCCAGAATCTCACCTTCCTTTAAGATCATTGAATTTTAGATAATGAAGCTGAAGGGGACATCAGAGACTACCTAAACCAACCTTTGTAACAAAGAAAAACAGTTAAAACCAGTTGACCCAACAATTCCATGTGATCAGATATGTAATATTATGCAACTCTAGTCTCTTACCTCTTCAAAAGGAAAAGATAGCTGTCAATAGTTTTCAGCCTTCTGAAAACTTTCCATATGCCTTGTCCATTTAACCTATTTGGTAATGGCTCTTGATCATGTGGGGGGGGGGGGAGGTATTTATACATAGTGCATTTTCTCATGTAACAGTGTTTATCTTCACTTTGTTGTTTTGTTTATATTATTGTAGTCATGTATATAATTTTCCTTACTCTGCTTGCTTGCATCAGTTACTTAATTCTCTGAATTCCTCATATTCATTGTTTCATACAGCTTGATAATATTTCATTAGTTCTTTTGTGGTGGTAAAGAATTGGAAACAGAGGGGGTGCCCACCATTTGGGGAATGGCTGAACAAATTGTGGCATATGAAGGTGATGGAATACTTTTGTGCTGTAAGAAATAATGAAAGGGCTGGTTTCAGAGAAACATGAGAAGAATTGTATGAAATGATGCAGAGTGAAATGAACAGAACCAGGAGAACAATTTATATAATAACAGCAATATTATAAAGACAAACAATTTTGAAAGACTTCCAAACTCATTATCTTTCCCCCCTCCTTCAGAACTTCCTTATTACTGTCAAAGACACCAGTCAGTCAATAAGCATTTATTAAGCTCCTATGTGCCATGTACTAGTGCTCAACTCTGGGGATATAAAAAAACAGGAAAAGATAGTCCCTGTCCCCATGAGCATCCTTCCAGTCATCCAGGCTCTCAGCCTAGGTGTCATCTTCAACTTCTCACTCTCTCTCTCTCTCTCTCTCTCTCTCTCTCTCTCTCTCTC